ATGTTTTCTCCCTATTTGGTCAAACACCGTGTGACAATGGTCAATAGAAGCTTCAAGCTTCGCATTTCCAAGCAACAGCATTCAAAAAGTGGCCACACCGTATTGATCTAACAAACAAATTCTCTGTTATTACCGAAATTTCCATCAAAGTTGCCTTTGTTTCAAGCCTCTATGACCCTCAGAATCCATCTCAATTCCCATTTTTGGGGCAAAGCAAACCTCACTAAGATGTTTTACATTGCCAATCACAACTACGATAGAACTGCAATAACGTCCGTAGCCCTCAATGCGATGTAATCAGAGCCATCTTTGCCCTTGAACTCGTTCCCAGCGTACTTAGAGTACATCGCGTTATCTCCCACGGCAATGGATAGCGGTTTCCTCTTGCCATCCTCCTCCAGATGACCAGGGCCAACTGCTATCACCTGTGTGAACCAAATGTTTTATGTCAATCATACAGGCATTGGTATCTATAATTAAACTAGGAGGGTGCGCTTTTGTATGCTTATACTGACCGTTCCGATGGATGGTTTCTCTTTGCTTGCTTCTGTCAGCAACAAACCTCCGGCTGTTTTCTCCTCGGCCTCGGCCACCTGTGATCCAGTATTTTAGAACAAGCATTACATTTCTGTCATTTGAACCAAATAATGGAAGACTAGACCATATAGAACTCTTTCCTACTTTTAAGGGAAAGGATGGAAGACAATTGCAAGGAGTAAAAACCATATGTCAGTGACTCAAAATGTAAATCAGAAAGATTTTCGACACACGCCACCCCCAAAGATATCGGGCAAGCATATCGGAAGATTCGGACAATTTGGTCTTATGGGTTATGCCAAAAAGGAACATTGAAGTACTAAGTAAAATGAAGACAGACCTTGATCAAGACCCTGTCATTTAGGGGCTGAAGATCTTTCGCGTCATCTGTTTCTAGTATACCAACTATATCGTCTTCCTTCAAGATAAGATGCTTTGAACCGTTGAACTCTAGCTCAGTTCCAGCATACTTGGAGTACACTACTTGAGCACCAGTCTATTGAATCAAAAAACACAAGGTTATAGAACATAACAAAACACATTGAATGAATTAAGAGCGTAAACAGATTAAATGCATACCTTTACACTAGCTTCCACTTTGGTGTTTCCGATTGTCTTGCCTTCTCCAACTGCAACAACCTCTCCTCCTTGGGGTTTAGACTGAGCGGTTGTTGGAAGTAAAATCCCTCCATCAGTCTTCTCTTCAGCTTCCTTTATCTTCACCAACACTCTGTCGCCCAATGGCTTGATTGAAGTGTACTGAAACATTGCAATTCACGCACGTAAGTAAATTGCTATATACATGCATTCAAAGATCACCCTCCAACATAAAACGCACCCTGCCAGAAACTTGTAGCAGTTTACTTATATCAACTCAAATTGTTTCACGAATCTCGACACACAAAAATTACAGTTTTCGTAGTTGCAGCTGCACAGAGTAATTGGAGGAAAACTTATCCGTCACAACAGATGCACGCAGATTGCAGCTATGATTGTAATTACGTAACCATACAGGACAGTCAAAAACGTAATATCAACAAATGAGAAACTTGGCAACTAAATAGACAACAAGTTGCAAAATGGAAACAGGAAGAAAATTGGAAGGAAAATGACGACCAGAGATTAAAGAAACCAAATTATAGACCTGAAGATGAGGCATATTTCACAGACATAAAACTCAGAACAAAGAACTTAAAATTGGTTAATGAAAATCAAAATCACAACTATATTTCGCAAATCCTCGTCTGAAACCACAAATTAAAGCCAAAAATGACAGGCACTAGCAGAATGGATAGTGTGGAACCTTTGGAGCAACCACAGTAGCAGCTCTGACGACCAAGCCAGTGTAAGATCTCTTAGACCGACCCCCGACTCTCACATGAGCAACAGAAGGAGAGAATTTCACCGCAGAAGGTCGAAGCCCACTGAAAGAAGGCAAGTTCCTCGCAGAAATTAAAGACCCAGCGAGTTGAGCTGTCGCCATTTCACGTTCTAACCTCAAAAAACACCCAAAATCCAGAAACCAAATATGAAAAAGATTAGAAAATGAACAATTTCAAACGAGTTTAAGTCAATTTCAATTCAAGCTCCAAAACGCTAAAATTTGTCCGCCAAACACATTGCAAGGACACAGAAATGAAATTTCCCGGAAGAATCGAGAGAGAAAAGAAGAAAGAGATGAGTACCTGAAGATAAAGATGGAGAAGCGGCTCCAATTGGATAGAAGATTATAGAAGAACGATGAAGATAAACCCTAGAAACTGGAAAGCAGCTGCAGCAGTGGAAATGGGTTTTATCGGAGAAATTAGACCCTTCTAGATATTGCTCCGATAATGCGACAAATATATATATATATATTACGAAATGCGTATTTCCCATTATTTATTTATTTTTTAAATAAATATTTCGGCAATTCTTCCTATTTTCCGCTTAAAAACATTTAAAACTAATTTATTAGACACGATAAATATTATAAATTAAACCTATAATCTCTATTTAATTTTTATTCTTTTTAATTAAAGCATGGGCTTAGTCTATGAAGAAAGAAGCTCGGTCACACACGCGCTCTTTTGAACTAACTAAAGTCGAATCCACTACACGGCTAGAACTAGAAAAAGATTGAGAAAGAAACCTCAACCCGCCTCATTCCCTTCCTATCCGAAAATTTTGGTTCTTCAAGGCTCGATTGAAAGAGGGAAATAGTCTCGTATCACTTTTTGATCCCTACCCTTCACAAAGACAGGTGCAGGTGCGCTTCACTCGACCACGTGATGAACATGTTTTCAGCTAACTGCATGTCAAGCACTTAAGCAGAGCTTGTGGTCACTTGTTCCAATCCTAGTAAAGAGTCTTAGATCCGATTCTACACTACATATGATATTCAATTCCATCTTGTCACCATCAAATACGTATTTGAATTTTCAATAAATATATATTTTTAAAATAGATATAAAATTAATTTTTATGTTAAATTATTTATTAAAAAAATGTTTTAAATAGAGATTTTATACGTAATATAATATTTATATTCCAAAACAAATTTATAATAATTAATGACAAATGAATATTTTAAGTTAAATTATAAATTTTGTGCTCACATAACCAATAGTGTCTCAATAATTTAATGCACATAAATCACGTGCCTAATTTTAATTTTATTATAATCAAATTTCCAAAATATATTTATTTATTATTTTCTATCGTTAATTCCCTTTCTGTCCCCTTGTCTTGTTTTTTTTTTCAATTATTAATTTTAAAAACAAAAGCAACCGAAAGGGCCGCCCATCCCTCTCCGTTTCTTTTCTGCTACAATTATTATACCCATTTATGAATTTAATTAATTAACATAATTTTTAAAATGTATATTAAAAATAAAAAATTAATTAGGTGGCGACTGTGACAAGAATTAAAAAAATGATTTATTTATTATAAATTTAAAAGAACTTATTACACATTTCTTAAACCATCAACAAATTATTAGAAATAAAATTAACATCGAATATGAACGAAACTACGGAATTAATCGAAACTGTGGAACGTAAGAATGCATCGATAAGGGAGCACTCACGCGAGAAGTAATGGACGAAGCAGAAGTGAAGCTATCACCACGAGTAATGACGCCCTAAAAACTTCAAAGAGTTCTTCTACAAGGTTCGTCCTCGAGTCTGATGAGCACCCATTTGAGTTAGACAGTTCGTTCACATAGAGTGAGTCTGAGCCTAAAATTAGACCAAAAAGCGTAGCCGATAGGTAACATGAGAATATTCTATACTACTCTTGGTTGGTCGGGAGGGACGGAGTAAAACAAGCATAAAAATAGAAAAGAAATAAAAAAGAAATAAAATTTTAATTGAAATTGAGTTCACGTGGTCAAACTTTGTGGTGGGACCGTTTGACTTTGGATTGAATTTTGGTTAGAAAGCAATCCACTCGACGCAAGCCCATCTTCTTTGAGCGTTCGTAGAATTAACAAATATTATTTGTATAATATATAGTTTCAAAATGTTTAATTTAATTTATAAATCACATCTTAGGCATGTGATTAAATTCGCTCCGAATATTATATATTAAACATTATATATAATATTAAATTTGTTATATGGTACGAGATCAATTAGATATGATTTATGACATCTCATTTTAATAGATTTTATGATGATTATTTTATTGTATCACTAAAATTGGGACGACCCGTAACTTGACTTTCAGTCTCGAGAGAGTTTAACCACCTTCTCGAAGGTCGAGGGAATGACTCAAGAATTTGAAGACTTTTATCAGCAATATTTATATGGCCCGATAACTCAATCAACATGGGCTGCTCTACTTAAGTTGGGTTGGGTTAGATTTTTTTTTGTTGTGTTTTATGTTGGGTTGAATTTTAGGAAAATCAAAATTTTGGGTCGGTCTGCGAGTTGACATTTTTCAGTCAGGTCAACCCAACCAATCTAATCGTACCCTACTTTTAAAATTATTATAAAAATTAAGAATATTGGATATTTGTAACAGATGTTAATGATGCGCTGTGACTCGTGAATTTTTTATATTTGAGTTTTATGAGATTTTAGTTATTAATATATAATTCAACTCGAAAATATAGTGTTCGATTACGAGCTCTATTCCGGTTGCTCATATCACCAACCGACCCATTGAAAATTTCGATTTGATGTAAAAGATTTCTCCAAACCAACTCGTATGCATTTCTAGCCTTTCCCGTTGACCAAAAAAGGTTCGTATCCGCTTATTATTGCTAATCGAACAAATTCAAAAGCATCCGAAACATAATTTAGGGATTAAAGAGTGTGAAAATGGATTAAAGCACGAGTAAATCATAGAAATTCACATGAAGAACGATTTAAAGCACGAGTAAATGACTAGCCCATGTCATACATGACGTGGCTATATTTACATTATAAATTAAATTTAAATAATAATAAAAAAAAAGACACATAATCATGAATGGCCAAACCCCAAAGCCAATCTCACGCGTCATCTCCCTTTTACCTCTGACTGTCCCCACGCGTTCCGCTACTTCCAGCCACCTTCGACGCGCCTCCCTGCTCCGGTCCAAGATGGGTTCTTTCCCCCCATATTTATACCCCTTCACCTCCCACTCTCAGCCGCAATATCCTCCAAATTCCTTACACGCTCACACACTGCCGCCACTAAAAAAAAACAAAAAGGAAAAGGAAAAAAAAAAAAAATTTAAAATTTTAATTTTTTCCCACCATTTTTATCCCTTGTATGACGAAGCCGCCGTCCCCATCCACCGCCTCGGCCGCTTCCGCCGCCGCCGACAGTCCCGATTCACGGTACAAGGGTGTACGCCGTCGCAAGTGGGGCAAGTGGGTCTCCGAAATCCGCCTCCCCAACAGCCGCGAACGTATCTGGTTAGGCTCATATGATTCAGCCGAGAAAGCCGCGCGTGCATTCGACGCGGCGCTTTTTTGCCTACGTGGCCGCACCGCTCGCTTCAATTTCCCTAATAACCCACCGGAGATCGCCGGTGCCAGTTTACTCTCAAGAGCAGAGATTCAATCCGTGGCAGCTCAGTTCGCTAACTCCAACCCCCCGCCGCCGCCTTCGTCGGAATGCACCCAACCCACCATTGGTTCTCCGTCGCCGTCGCCATCGGTAGTTTCAGAAGCGACCACCGCCGTGATCGAAGAAAGATCGACATTTTTGGATCTTTCGACAGCGATGGGATCCGGGAATTACGGGTCGGAATTCGGGTTGTTTCCGGAATATAACCCGTTTTTCAACGAATTGATGAACACTACAAATTCTGGAGCTCCTTTTTTTGATTATGGAGATGAGAATTTGGACGATCAGGATTCGTTCCTCTGGAACTTCTGATCAAGAACAGAGTTCTGACGGTTTTTTGTTTCAGAACTTTAATTCTTTGAAATTTTGTTTCTGAAATTTAAATATTTTTCCAGTCTCTGTGAAGATTGATGGATCCAACGAATTTTAAGCTCGGCCGTCGATTCTTCCACCGTGTTCTTCCCAAACAAATTGTAGGGCTTGGATCATTTTTATTTAAACTAAATTATCAATTTAATTATTTAAATGCTACTATAATTTTTTAAAACATAATCTTTAATAAAAAAAAAATATTTTTTTTTCTTAAAATCCCTAATTTTAAATTTTGGAATTAATTATTTAAAACTATTTTTTGGTAAATAAAATTAGTGTTTATAAGATTAAATTTTTTAAAACATAAAATAAATCTCCTAACAAAGTTGTAAAAGATTCTGTCCGGGTCGGTTCGGGTCGGGTGTCGGGACCCGAACCGCTAAAATAGAGTGGAATGCACAAAAATGGAACCGGGGCTTTCCGATTAACCGACGGTTTACTCAGTTCGGTCTGCCGGTTAGTTTAGCCCAATAAGGCACGTGCATATGTTGGGCCTTGGGCTTGAATGTTCCAAATGGGCTATTTGGGCCTGGCATTCAATGGGCTCGAGAGAAATCATCAAACCCGTGGGCCCAAGGCCCACTTTCATTTTCAGTCCTTTTTTCCTTTTTTGCAATTCTTGTATGTTTAAAAACTAATCTTAATTTTCAAAAATTAAAACTCAAATAATTATTTATAATTAACTCCCTCAAAATCACTAAAATCAAAATACTTTACCAAACTCGAGAAAAAATCGTCTCAAATAACCCTTTTCCTACCGTGTTAAATAAATAAACGAATCCAAATCGTACATTTTAGCTCTTAAAATTAAGAGCACTCGTCGAGTTATTCTCAGCGGTTCGTTAGAAGGTTTTTCCAACCCGATTCTCGAACCAACCTGCCCACGTTTTGGGTTTATTCATATTATTGGAATAATCTAAAAATATTATTCAGTGAGACTGTCATAACGTATATATCTCTTAAATATGTTGGGTCATTTTCTGTTTCTTTGATTAACAGTTAAAAAGACAGAAAATTGAATATTTCTTTAACATAAGGTAAGAGTGTACGGTTTTGAAATTTAAGGACGAAAGTGTCATTTAATCCTTCTTGTCTCGCTCGAAAACCCTAGTTCATTATAGATATAGTTGTGGTGGGTAAAATAGTTAAGTTTTGGGTGAAGGAAAGACATGTATGGATAAGTCCAAAGAACACAATTCAATGCTCTTTTGGCTTATATCTCATGTCAACCAATCAAACAAAGTACCTTAATTCTAGGGAGTCTACAAAAGTCCACTTTAACACCATATTTTACAAACTTACAAATTTCAAAACCTTACCTTTTCGATCAAATTATCTAAGGAGGATGTCACAATGTGACTGATAGTTTTAAACCCTCGAACGTGTGAGAAAGTTACAAGCTCGATAACCTTCTCGTAAATCATTCGAAGAGGTTGCAACGATGTATTTGGTAGTTTTATACCCTTGAACGTGTGAGATGAGATGAATAATAATAGTGTTTCGAATGTGGATCCTGAAGTTATAAATAGATGACATGCAGATTCTCGAATCTATGTAGTGACTCTTTAATTTATAAATATTGTTTGTTTCAAAAGTCTCGAGTTTTCTGTTTTTTTTTTTTTTTTTTGTCTTACATGCATGACACATGTTTTACATTTTGTCAGTGAGATCCCACATCCGTTGAAGAGATGAACAAAACATTCCTTGTAAGGGTGTGGAAACCTCTCTCTAGTAGACACGTTTTAAACAATATTTACTAATGGTAGACTTTGACTGTTAAAAATGGTATCAGGGCTAGACACGGGGCGCTGTGCCGATGAGGACGCTGGGCTCTAAGGGGGTGGATTCTGAGATCCCATATCGGTGGGAGAGAGAAACAAAACATTCATTATAAGGGTGGGAAAGCTTCTCTTTTAAAACGGTGAGACTCACTGTCACTGCTAACAGTGAATTTGGGTTATTACAAATTCAATAATGTGTGAGATTTGGATCTCTTACCTCACGAACAAAGATTGGTCGAAGATATATTTTTTTAATTAATTGAATTATCTTACTTTGCTTTTAAAGATAAAATATATAATGAATTAATAAAAAATTTAAATTACATTAATGACAATTTTCAATTTATCCAAAAAAGAATTTGAATAAAATTGTTAAAAATTAATTCTCCAATATTCAATATTCTAATATAAAAAATAATAATTATAAAATTTTAACCCATTTTGCCCCTTTTATTTTGCAAGGTATCTCATTTTTCTCGTGATTTTTTCGGCAACCACTTAATTTACTATAAAAGATATTTTTATTTTGAGAATATTAAAAAATAGGTTAAATCAAGACCATGAAATTAGTTAATTATTTATTTTTTTGAATTTTCTTTAATAATTTAAAAATAATTTATATAATTTTTATTATTATTATTTGCTATTTCAATTTTATATCTAATAAATCTATGATATATTCAATAATTATTTTTTTTTTATAAATTTATATCCTATTTTTAAAACTCTATTTACTAGATTAGATAGGTACTTGAATATTGTTTATTTATTAATAATTATTATTCAACACCATATTTTCCTCATTATTATTGAAAAAAAAAGTCATTTATTGAAAACTACCAAGAAAAAATAATAACCAAGAGAATACGTCAAAGGACAAAATCGTAATTAGCTAGATTAAAGAGGGGTAAAATAGTCATTAACCTTAAAAGTAGCGAAAACGAAAGAAGCAAGCTGTCCCGTGTGGGGGTTTATAGATAGTGGAGGGTATTAAAGTAAATTCAATCATAATAAGGACATAACGGGAATTAGAAACCAGGGGACTACAGTTCCGACCTGTCGTTTTCGATGCCGAAGAATGTGGGGCCTCCCTTTTAATAGCAGTGGGCTCTAGACGATGCGTCGTTTAGCCCATTCATAGTGGTCTGAGTAATCGCCTTCAATTATTGTCGTCGGGTCTTGAAGTGAGACGGTTCCACTACAGACCGCTCCACTGAACTACACCTGTACTCATACCTCCGATTCACGACACGTGTCATACACTGATTGAAACAAAATGGAATCTCTTGTGCGTGAAGCTGTCCCCACTGTGGGACCCACTTCCTTTAAATTAAAACGTTGTCATAATCATTGGACAATGACATCATCTAAAATAATTAGCATTTTGAAAACTACTTTTTATTTATTTATTTATTTATTTATTTTCTCTCTTTTAAGTTATAATTATTTATTTTTATAATATAATTTCCATAGAATTTGTTGGGAATTGCTTAAATTGTTCTACCAAATGCATTTATTATTTCATTATAAATGAATAAATATTATTTAAGTGGTTATATTTATTTTATTATACGATCATTTTAATTAATTTATACGTAAAAATTAAAATTTTTCGTGATTCTTACGAATTTTTAAATGAAATAAATAATAATAATGTCAATTTTGACCAATTATACGTACCATTTTGATAGATAAACACAAAAAGTAAACTAAGGTTTAAATTAAAAAAAATGTAATTATAATAATTATTTAAATTTTTAATGCATAGTTAAAAAAATTTGAATAAAATATTTGAAATTAACAAAAATATATATATATATATATATATACATCTCCCTACCCAAGGTTATATACGGTGAGCCATTGTTGTTACTCTCTTGCTTGCTTATATAACGTCTCTTTCTAAAATCTTCTCTTAAACCAAGGCTAGAGGCTTGAGCATACGTCGCTGGGCCGTAGGCGACACAAGAACGAATTGGCTTAGCTCACTTGTCGTTGAAAAGTGAGTGCCTCACAATTGTAAGTCCGCTCCATCAAGAGTGCGATTTTCACAAAAATATATATATATATATTATGAAAATTTGAATAAAAAATTAAAATAAGCATAAATTGGGACCATTTCTTTTGAAGAGAATTTATTATAAAATGGTTAAAATATTCTTTAAAATATTCCCAAATCAAATATGCTATTTAAAAAAATAAAAATCTGAGCCAAAAATGGCCAATCTTCAATTACAATATTCGGATTTGGGATTATTATCATTAATTAAATAAAACAAACTTTAATTATCATCTAATCCCTGTAATTTCCAAATCAGTCTTTATTTTTTTAAATTAAATTATTATTTTTATTCTTTAGTTTCATCATCAACATATATTTCCTATTTAGCTAACTATATTAATTAATGATATTAAATATTATGACTACGATGACATAGATTTAATTAATTTATTTTGAATAGTATGAATTTAATTTAATTTAATTTCTATAAAAGGTTTTATTAACTCTTAATTTAAAGCTGGACTACGGTTATGACTTAGATAACTAAGTTATGACTCTCCAGTAAATACTATATACTCGAGACTCAGTAACACAGCTCAAAAAATAAAGTTTATGGCGAAAATAAAAAATAGTAAGAATAAAGAGTCGGAGGGTCTGTCGCCCAACTAACCTACATTTAAAAATTTTAAGGCGTTTTTGAAGCATTTTAAAATATTTTCGAAACAAAATATTAACAGTTTTGAGCAGCAGCAGTAACCACGTAGACTAATTAGGGTTTTGGTTTTAGGCACATACGTACGCTTTTATACACTATATTTCTTGAAAATTTGGGTCAAAATCATGGAATTTGAACATTCCACGCAACAATGTCGAAAAATATTGACCGTGACTCAGTTTTTTCATACGCGTGCTTAAAGTGGTCAAAACTGGAGATTCTAAATTAGGGTTTTTAGATTGCTTTTGGCTCTTTTTCTTCAAAATTTGAGCAGAAATACTCGAATATTGACATTTTTTTTACAAGAATACCGAAAAATATCAATAATGAATCAATTTTTTACTATTCAAAATTAACGATAAGAGCATTTTAAAATTTTTTAAGTTATATTTTTTAAACTAAATGATATATACGTATACGTGTGTGTATATATGTATATATATATATATATTTGAGTCGAAATACTCAAATATTAACATTACTCAGAAAAATGTCCGAAAAATATCAATAGTGAATCGATTTTTTTACTATCCAAAATTAACGATTTTTAAACTAAATGATATATATTATACGTGTCCCTATATATATATATATATATATATATATATATATATATATATATATATATATATATTTTTGAGTCGAAATACTCAAATATTAACATTTATCGCAAAAATGTTGAAAAATATCAACAATTAATCGATTTTTTAAACTAAATGATATACACGTTTACGTACGTGTGTGTATTTATATATTTGAGTCGAAATATTCAAATACTAACATTTCTCGTAAGAATGTAGAAAATATAAGCAGTGAATCGAATTTTTTACGGAGCATTTATAGATTTTTTTAAATTATATTTTTTAAAATAAAGGTATACATATATATATATATATATGTATATATATATATATATTAATTATTTAATTAATGGAATAAAAACTCTAAATAATTCCAAAACCAAAACCAGGGGCTAAGGTAAGTGGAGCCCACCTACTCCCCCATTTTATGTGCAAAAAGCAGCCTTTGATGCAATTATTATTATTATTATTTATTATTATTAAAAAGATTATTATTATTATTATTTAATTTACCTTTATTTCCTATAATTTCATTCCCTACTTTTATAAGTACAATCCCCATTTCCCCTTCGTTTCTCCACTCTCTCTGTTTCCGCCTCTGCCGTCTGATCCTCTCTCTCTCTCTCTCTCTCTCTCTCTCTCAATCATGTTGGCCAAAGGGCAACGTCCGATCATCGGAAGGTTATCGGAGCTTCTCGTCTCCCGTTGCCGGCCAGCCTTCCTCGACACCACCACCACCGCCTCCTCCGCCAGCCCCACTTCCCATTTCGACCTCTCCCCTTCTCCCAGAGGCAATCTAAAAAATTACAACGCCGCCGTCGGACTTGGCATCGTCGCCGCCCTCGATACCTCCACCTCCGCCGTCCGTGGATGTGATATTTTGGTTAAACACGCCGTCTTCAGCCCGAAATTTAACTCCGCTCGCTGCCCTGCTCCGATCCCGATCGCGTTGGCTGGTGGGTCGTTTCAGCCGGAGGAAGACGACGAACTCGACGGCGTGGAAGAGAATTACACTTATGTTACCACGCGTGGACCTCACGAATCTTCCACACGTGTCTATTACGACGGTGGTCTGGTCGCTAGTAGGTGTTGTGAGAAATCGCCTCCGATTATGGCTCCCGCCGATGAAACTCCGCCGCGCCGGACGGCGGATTTCCTCCGATCGTGTCATTTGTGTGGGAAAAATTTAGAGGGGAAAGATATTTACATATACAAGTAAAGAAACAATACCCAAAACTTTATTTGGTTCAGAATTTAATTTATTCCGATCAAAATTTCTGATGGGTTGTGAAAATTTTGCAGAGGGGAATTGGCGTTTTGTAGCCCGGAGTGCCGGTCGAGCCAAATAACGAAGGAGGAGACGAAGGAGCGGTGTCGGTCGGAGACGAGAACGGCTGTGGAGATGGCGTCGAACTCGCCGTATAACAGAGGGATTTTCTCGACTGGGATTCTTGCAATTTAGGTGAAGAATTAGAAGAAGAGGAAGAAAGTATATACAAAATTTAGATACGGCTAATAGTTTGGTTTTTGAGTATTGTATACATGAAGAACAAGTGGAGTGACAATTATTTACCCACTTCTTGTTTTATGAGCAATAAAATAGAGAAAGGCAATTTTTTTATTGGTGAATTCCCAGAAGGTTATATGGAATGTTTTTGTTCACTCCCCCGTCTAACCAATGTGTGCCAGCATTCTCGCGAACACATCGTCGGATGATTTAACCATAATAGGGGCCGGTGTCCTTGCTGGCACACCGCCCCGTGTGCGCTCTGATACTATTTGTAACAGCCTAAGTCTACGATTAGCAAATATTGTTAACGCCCTTATAAACAATGTTTCGTTCCCCTCTCCTCTCTAACCATTGTGGGATATCACAATCCACCACTTTGGAGGCCAGAGTTCTGGCAAATCTCACGATGGTTTGGCCATGATACCATTTGCAAGCTTAAGGGGCCAGTGTCCTTGTAGGCACATCGCCCCGTGTTTTGCTCTAATACCATTTGTCAATTTTGGTCTATTACATATCGCTCAATTTTAAAAAACGTCTATTAGGGAGAGGTTTTCACACCCTTATAAGAAATGTTTCGTTCTCCTCTCCTATCAATGAGGTATCTCATATTTCGAGTCATGCTTGAAAAAATATGCTAGACATGGGTGAATTTTTTTGAATTAGACTGCTACCATGAAATCGAAAGGAGTTTCTCGTAGCAGTCGAAAGGATTAATTTACAAGAGCATGCTTCGTCTGTTTTGCTCTTCTTCTTCAGACACATTTGACACGAGGCTAGAACCTTCTCAGATTTGCATTAAATTAACATTTATATATATGTATATATTTTTAAAAAATAAGGTAAAGGAAGCATTAGCGAAGGTAAATAATAAATAAATGACAGAAACAGAAACATACAATTTTCTTAAACTATTCAAAATTGATCCACTAATGTCAGTTCAACCAGAAAAGGAGAGACACAAACATATTCTCCCAGCATCACAAAAACACAACAAAAATCATGTCAAAAGCTGATTTTAGCTCGATTTTTATTCTCCATTATCACAAACACATTAATACTTTTTTCTTTTCTTTTATTTTATTTTACAAAAAGCTGATAACTTTTATTCTTCCCTACAACTTTTACCTCCATTTTTGCCTTCACATATTCCCTTACAGAAATACCCACAACCCCTTTTCCTCGAACCGAGCCACCGTGTTGTCGCCATCGTCGATGAAGGATCTCACCACATGGTACCACTGTTGAGTCAGGTGATCATAGTTGGATACAACGTTTGTTATTGATGTAGAAGCTACAGTAGTCGTATGGATAGAGGCTCGACTAGTAAGAGATGACCATTGAGTATCGACCCAAGCCTTGCAAGTCCAACGCCACTACTTAGTCCATCGACTTTTGGTCGAAACAAAGCTTATCAAATAGATACTCTCGTTCTTGATTTTGTCATCGACATTGTCTTGATCATATGTAATAGGGTCGATAAGGTCGATTGCAACTAGTTCATTGACACACGTAATAGGAAATTCTCTGACACAATCCAATAAGATTTAGAGTAAAGAAATGATTGTTTTTTTCCAAACATTTTTACAATTTGACTCGATCAAAGAGGGAAGCCTGATTTTCTGGCAACAAATTAATAACAAGAAACCATTGCTAAGCTCCTAAGAATAGCAATCAAGTAACGGATTGAACCCCAAAATAGAGCTATAAAAACAGCAGTTCATACTCAATCTTCATCCACACCTCTCAATCAAAAGCGAAAAAGAGCGAACGAGCAAAGAAGAAGAAGAAGAAAAAGAACAAAAACAATGGCAAAATCCGCAATCATGCTTGTTTCAGCCCTTTGCTTCATGACGCTTCTTAACCTGGCAGCCTGCAAGAAGGATCAGTTCTTCGTGGAAGGGAAGGTGTATTGCGACACATGCCGTGTCCAATTCTTCACCAAAGTCAGCAAATTCATGGAAGGTAAGTAATTAATCAAACAAAAGCCCTAACAATCGCAATCCAAGCCCTAAGAAACCGAAACCGAACTCGAAATCGAAATTAAAACCGAAATTGACCTAACTATCGCAATCGAAGCCCTAAGAAACCGAAATCGACATTGAAATTGAAATTGAATGCAGGTGCGAAAGTGAAACTGGAATGCAGAGAAATCGAAGGAGAAAAGGTGACGTTGAACAAGGAGGCGGTGACGGATAAGACGGGATCTTACAAAATCGAGGCGGACGGCGACCACGAGGAAGATGTGTGCGAGGTGTCGCTGGAGAAGAGCAGCGATTCAGACTGCGATGAGGTGACGGAGGGAGGGTATGCGCACAAGTCTCGAGTGAGCATCACCAGCAACAGTGGAATCACCAATCCCGTCCGCCAAGCCAATCCTCTGTCATTCATGAAGAAGGAAAAGGTTCCTGAGTGCAAGGAAGTTATGAGAGAGCTTGGATTCGATGAATTTGGCTTACCCGCCTAAATATCTTTCTTTCTTTTCGCATTCTTTTTTTCCCTTATTTATTAATTATACCTGAAATCATCTTCTCCTCACCGTTTTATATATCAAAATAAATAAAATCCCATTCTATTTTTTTTTTTTTAGTCGGATTTGCCCTTGGGCTCACGCCCAATGTTTTGCAGTGATCACTGCACCTTCCCACTCATCGACACCTAGCACTCGCCCCAACGGCTAGGTATGGTTGATTCCACAGGTGAGTCAACAAGACTCGTCTTAAGAGTGCTAGTTGATTCCACAGGTGAGTCAACAAGACTCGTCTTAAAAGTGATATGTCTGAGCATCAAGCCTATACACCCAAAATAACAAAATCATGAATCATTTATTCACAAACCTCGTGTGGGGTTAGTAGTTTGAATTTCCTATCTTATGGAAAACCCTTTACTTAGCCCTAGGAGTATTTTAGTGATGGGTTCTATAGGAACGGGACAATCCTATTTGGTCAAAATACCTACATCATCAAAATACCTAGTGACAAGCCCGGTATTCTTACTGATGATAGTGGCAATATTGATAATAGTGATCTTGATATGATGAATGTGCCGCTAACTATGGATATGATGCTGGACATAGATCGATTTTATATTACCTTTCAATTTGTCTCCCATGTCTCCCTCCAAACATTCATGAATGTGAACGACAACCAACTATTCATTATGTGGATTGGATTCTCTCATTATAAAAATAATTGGTTGGATGGTTGTTTGCCACTCAATTTTAATATATATTTAAAAACTAAAAAAATTAAACAGAAATAATTGAAAATTAATGGAAATTAAATATAAATTAGAAAAAAAATAGATGTAAATTGAGTGGTGAGCAAAAAAATAATAATAAAAATAAAAAATTGTTTAGTTAAAATTTTCATTTATTTAAATTAGTTGAGTTAATTGGACCAGCGGGTTTTATAAACATGGGCTTTAAAAGGGCCAGTTTTGGGCCTGATTGAAACTTCCGGCCCAAACAAATATTTGGTGTGGGCCGATAATTCGCAATGGACAACTTTGAAATAAATAAATAAATGATAGAAAATAATTTTGTTGAGTGGCGAATTTGATATTAATTTAAATAAATGGATTAAAATTTAAATGCATACGAAACGGTAAATGAAAGCAACAAATAACTTTTAAAAGAAAAATGAAAAAAGGATTGAATTCAAATGCGCGTGACCTTTTCTTTATTTTTATTATTCAAAAAAAGAAAAGAAAATAAAAGTAAATTAATTTGTTGACTTTATTAAAATTAAATGTGGTGGGGTGCCCCTTTGAATCCTTCAACAAAATATATATATATATATATATATATATATATTCGAAACAGACCCCATAACTTTGGAGTTCTAGTGATCGAGACACCGAAAATTGCTCCATAACTTTGGAGTTCTAGTGATCGAGACACCGAAAATTGCTCCATAACTTTGGAGTTCTAGTGATCGAGACACCGAAAAAGAAAGGTGCACCTTGTTGATACACGGAGTAACTTTGGGTTTACATACATTCATATGTGGTCCTGGTTCATTCCTATACTCGGGTGTTACATGTCACATGTCCACTAACTTTCCTATAATATCGTTGTAACATTCCATGTTCATGTCATCATCTTGCATGTTGACTTATACAATACTTTCTAAGATTCACACGGTTTCTCAATACAAAATTGAAACTTTATAATTTTATTAAATAAAAATTTAAAATTTATAACAAATAATTTAATTAAACTTTTAAAACGACTTATTAGACAATTTTTAACGTTATACATCTGGTCCCTATTTTCAAAATAATTACAATTCAGTCCCTTATCATATTTAGTGAATTAAAAAAAGCATAATATATATATATATATTTGTTTTTGGTGATTTACCAAATCGAGGAGTACACCGGTTAGATTTATGAAATATTTTGGAACAATCCATAATTTCGAGTCGGTTGAGTTCGTGACTTAAACAACCCTGCTAAAATTCAAAACCCGACCCTTTATAATTCGATTGGGTTGTCTATTTTTTTTATAATTATTTAATATAAGTTACATAATAATTAAAATCTCTTAAAAATCAAATATTTACAGAGACGGATATTAAAATATTTGTCATTTTCATAATAATATTAAAAAATAAGATAAAGAAATATTGTGTTGCAAGCTATCGATTAGAGGAAAAGCAACTACGGCCTCTGCAAAACAGAGCATTGTCGCCGGAAGAAGCAACAAAAAACAGAGGCCTAAGGAAAAATGGCTTCGAGTCTTCTAAAATCTAAAACAAATCTGAATTTTACAGTGGTTGATCTACGGCTGCACGGCCAAACCCAGCCAGGAGTTGTCGCCGGCGAGTTTGCTCGGCGCCGGGCAGTTCTGGTACGGCGCTCTCAGAGTTAGCCTGTTTGAAAAACAGAGTAAGTTTAAAGTTGAAGAAATTGTGAGTTTTGGATCAAAAGAAACAAACCCCACCTGTCTCTTCTCTTCTCTAGGAAACGTTGAATCGAAGCTTTACGAGCCATTGGAAGAGCTGCAGAAATGGAAGCTCAAATCATCAGAAACAAGAACGGAAATTTCAACTTCCGGCGACGGAAGGTTAAAGGATTGCAGAAAGGGGGGGGGGGGG